GACTGGCAGCCTCAAGGGCTTCCAGAAGGAAAAAGGCTTTCAATTACTGCGCTGCTGCTCATCCCAATTCCCCTGCCACGCCAGGAGGGGTGGGGCAGCTGGGGAGCCCTGTGATCCCACCCCAGGGAGATGGACCTGAGACCCTAAAGCTGCACATTTGGTCCTGTTGATGTTTTACAGGGCTGATTTCTTCCTGGTGCAGCGGCAGAGTGTGGGTGTGGAGGCTCTGTAAGGATCTCCAGGTGATGGGCACTGTGGTCACTTGTGCCAGGGTGGAAAGGAGCCACAAAGGCTTTGCTGGACACCTTTGAAACATCCAGTGCTGGGTGTTGGTGATGGATGATGATTTAAATCCCATTTGTGCAGGGAATAATGGCTCATAACCATCCCCTCTCCTTTAGTGATGTGACACTGCTGAGATGGGTGGTGTCGTGTTTCCACCTTAGGGGAGGTGTTGTATTAACTGTCCCTGCCCTTGCTCCTAAGCCCACGTGTGCTGTGATGTGGACGTGCTGCAAATACAGCGGAGAGGAGGTGGCAGCCGGGATGTGGCTCCTGGGGGAGGCAGCCAGAGAGGCAGGGATGGCTGCTATCCACGGGCTTTCCAATGCTCTGAAACCTTCAGCCCTGCGAGGACTGACTGCCCCAAAGCCAAGGGAGTCTGACTGCTGAGGGATAACCAGGACTGCGTGTCTGTGACCAGGCTCTGTTCCATGGGGAGGAGGCAGGGGTTGAACTGTCCTCTTGCTGCCTGCATGGCTCTCCCTGCTGGTGACTTTATTTTTCACCCAAATCCCTGCTTGGGCACCCAAAAAGGCCCCTACCCAGGTCATTTGGCATAAAGGCTTCTAGAAAGCATCCCTGGGATCACTGTCCCTGCCTGGTCACAGCTGAGCTGGTGACACTGAAAACGTAAGTTCCCCTTCATACCCCTCCTGTACCTGCAGGTCCCTGGGCTTTATTCTCCTCCCTGCTTTCCCCTCATTTGTGCCCGGCTCCGGAGAAGAGCGCTGGGAACTGATCACTGTGTAGCTCTCGCTGATTTAATCCAAAGCCGGTACCAGGCGGGAGCGAACGAGGGCAGCCCGGGGGACCCAGCGTGTAGCAAAGCACCTGGCGGTGCCGAACGGCGCCGTTAATAACCGGGAGCGAAACGCTGCAGCCACCGGCATCGCCTCTCTCCGGCAGGACCCGGTATCGCCTCTCCCCTGGCACAGCCTGCCCTCCGGCAGGACCCGGTATCGCCTCTCCCCTGGCACTGCCCGCTCTCCGTCCTGCAGCCGGAGCTCCCACGAGTGCAGAGCTGTGCTGGGGATGCGGCCCAGAGCGATTGGAAGCCTCAGGGGCTGTCAGCCAGCGATGCTGACCCCGAGCTGTGCCACTGCTGCACAGACAGCAGCTCACCCGTGAGCTTCGTGCTGCACCCCGGCTGGCAGAGCCCTTCCTGGGGCAGGGATGGCCCCTGTGTCCTGCTCAGTGCTCCAGAGCCTCCGAGGGACTGATGGCAAAAGCCTTTGGATGGGTCTTTTCTTTTGGCAGTGAATGAAATAGGATTTGTGCTGGTGGTGATAAGAGGCTGCAAGTTGGACCCATCTGAGCCTCACAATTCGGAGAGGCTGATGCTGACATGGCAGAGCAGGTCCTGCCACAGCCTTCATGTCCCAGCACACAAAATGGGTGAGGAAAAGCATTTTAAAAAGTGACTGGGGAAACTGCAGTTGTGATGCCATCCTGTCTGAAGCCCAGGGTTCCCCCTCTGGCCTCTCTGGAGTCACATGTACTGCAAAAACCCTCTGCTCTGAACTCAGGCTGGGTCATGACTCACGTCTTGGGCTGTAAAAGTGCATTTCTTTGTGTCAGCACAGAAAGTGGCCGTGGGCAGCTCTCTGGCAGTGCTGAGGCTGGCCGGAACAGGCTGTTGAACAATTACACCCGCTGGAGCCCTAATTCCATCTCATATTTTGCTACAGCACACAAAAAAGGTTGAGGGGAAGGAAGGGCTGGAGGGGGAAAGTGTTTCACTTAAAAATCCTGGTAGGAGTCTATCCAGTGGCTTGTCTGGCCACAAATCCATCTATTTTGGTGCAAGTGTGGGCTGCAAAGCCTGGACCTGCCACCTGGAAATGCGACCTCATGAGTTTCCTGCAGCCTGTGGAGTTTGCTTCATGTTCAGGAGAGACACCTCTCTGGTGGCTGCATCCTTCCAGAGGGAAAAGGGCAACTGAACCTTCTGGATGTCTCTGCCTTGCTGTGTTAAACAGCATCCATGGCTTTCCTCTGGGTCCTCCCTCAACCAAAACTACTTACAGGTACTTCTAGTATGAAAAAATCACTAAAAACTGAGTTACCTGTTGAGGGGCAGCACTGTGAGGCTTCACAGCAACACAGTGCTTCATAGCACAGCACCTTGTGACTTAATTTTGCTTTTGGACTTAAATGTCTAATTATGTCTCTGAGAGTGTTTAGCACCAGTCAGGTGATTTCATTTGTAACCAAATCTGGGTCACATTGCCACAACAGAGCTACTGGAGAAGCCAAACAGCCTTGAGGAAAGGAGCCTGGTGGTTCCAGATGAGCCAGGAGGGATCAATCCCATGAAGAAAATCTGAATTCCTTGAAGGAAGGGGTTTAACCAGGAAGGACCAACTCAATGAAGAAAATCTGAATTCCTTAAAGGAATTAAATTAAGAAGAAAATCTGAATTAATTAAAGGATGGGGTTTAACCAGGAGAGATCAATTCCATGGAGTGCAGTTGCCCTGTTGCTGGTATGGTCCAGGACAGCGATGCTGTGGGACCAGGATAGGGGCTCTGTGCTCGTTAATGCCCTGGGCACTAACAAAGCCCAGGAGCAGCTGCAAACAGAACCAGCTGAAGGATTCCTGCTGCCTCCCACCAATGCTGCCCACGATTCATCAATTACCTATCTGCTTAGTCCTTTTCTCCATCCTTTCACAATCTAAATAGCACATTTTATAGTCGCTGCTAAGTGATGTGATCAACATCAATTACCTACTAAAAGAGAATCAAGTCTTGATTTAAAATTAAGTGCTGCATTTTCCCATGTTCTTTATATGTAGCCAACAGAATAATTGCAGTGACATAAAAACTAATTACACAACTCCACAATTAGGCCTCCCTCCTAGTGCCATGATTGTCTTTAAGTATACTGATGAAAAATTATTCCCAGTCCCAAATTACTCTCTCACACCCATCTTCTCTAATACCTTTGGAAAAAGTCCTCCACCCCAGAAGACCAAAGAGAGGAACTCCAGATGCAGAAGGTAATACATGCAGAGTGTATTTTCTTTTCTCTTTCATGTGGGAGTGGTTTCAGATGTGGGATCCCTGGGATTGCCCAGGGATGCAGCAGATCTCTCTGGATGGACTGAGGCTTCCTGGTGTGCCAGCACTCTGAGACAAGCAGGGAGAAAATCCTCTCCTAAGTGCCCCAGCTGACATTTGGCTCCTGGGCTGCAAGCAGAGACCAGTCCCACCTGGATGCCAGCCTTGGGCTTGGTGTGTGGGACCCAAAAGAGAAGGAAGAGGCTGGAAAAGCAGTGCTTTCACCCATCCAAAGGCTAGGAGTTATACCCAGGCAGCAATCACGCAGCTACCTGAGAAACCATAAACTCCAACAAAAATCATAAACATCAATAAAGCTCTGGTGCACTCCTGACAGGCTTTGAGGGATTTGATTCCAGATTATGTTTCTGAGATGTTTACAACCAACCTGGAAAAACTGAAAATATTCAATTACTGGCAAGGAGAGCTGAGATTTGCTTACAGTCAATCTCCTGCCTCCAGGATCTCTGTGGGTGCCAGCAGTGAAACACAGCACTGGTGAGCAGAGCCATGGGGACAGTGGCCCAGGGACAGATCCCCCTGATGTTGCTGAGCATCTTTCACTGGATAATTAAACATTGCAGGTTTAATTTTGGAGCTGCCAGGTTGATTTTGGCTGCTGTGCAGTGCATCCCATAGCCTGTTCCTCAGCCACAGCCCAGCCTTTGCTAGGGAGGGTTGCACAGCTTGTGGCTGTTGCTTTTCCATCATTTCTTCAATGCCATCACTCAGTCGCAGTCAGGAGAGGGGTGGGAAATGCTTTGGCATGATTTTAATCAGCAGAGTTCTTTGAGTGAATGAGGTGAGGGGACCAGTGAGCTCCCTGTGCCTTCTCTGACTTTCTCACCTCATTTCACCATCAGCCAGGGGTGCTAAGCCTGAGAATTTACACCCTTGTATTTACCTGAAAGCTCACTACCTTCCTCAAAACCTGTGAAAAATAAACGGGGTGGTGAAGTAGCCTGTGGCAGGGATGATGTGATATGTAAGGCCAACATCTCCTGATCACTGTGAATATTCCCTCCTGATCCCCAGCACCCATTCCAGATATCCCCACCCTGTCACCAGCCCAGAGCACTCAGTGCCACCTCCAGCACTTCCTTGGACATCTCCAGGGCTGGGCACTCCAACACCTCCCTGGGCAGCCCCTGCCAAGGCCTGACCGCCCTTTCCATGGACAAATTCCTCCCGAAGTCCAACGTAACACGATGCAGAGAGGCGCCCCCAGCCAGGCAGGCCCGGCAGGCCCTTCCTGAGGGACAGATGCTTCAGGACGGGGCTGCTGCCGTTCCCAGAGCCACGGAGGCTCCAGCCCGCCCAGCGCAGCCCCGGCTTCCGGGGCCCGACCGGGACACAGCTCAGGCTCAGGCCGGAAAACCCGGCCCGGGACAGGGCTCAGGCTCAGACCCGCCAACCGGAGCCGGAGCAGCGCCGCCGCCGCCGCCGCCGCCTCACGGGGCACCGGGGGGGGGGACGCAGAGGGCGAGGCCAAGCCCAGAGGGCGGAGCCACGATCAGAGGGCGGGGCCAAGGCAGGCCGGGCCAGGGGACACGGCCAGGGGGCGTGGCCAATAGGGAGGCGGTGCTGACTTATAGGGCGGAGAAAGGGCGGGGCAAAGGGCAGGAGGACGGCGATGATTGGCTGAAATGGGGCGGGGGCGGGCCCTCGGGGCCGGGCGGAGCGTGCGCGGTGCGGAGCGGTGAGTCGGCTTGGGGGGGCTGCGGTGGGAGGTGCTGCTGGCGCCCCGCGAGGGCCGGGCCGTAACGCCGGGTCGGGGACCCGGATCCGGGCCGCCGCCCTGGTCCCGGCCTTGTGGGCCCCGGCCGCTGCTTCCCCTGCGCTGCACTCACGCGAGCGGAGCTGGCGGTGAGGCCTTGCCAGCCCGGGGGCTGCCCGCCGGCCCGGTTCCCCTCAGAGCGGCCGTGGCCGGGCCTTTAGGGACGTGTCCGGCTCCGGCTGGGGTCTTGCAGCAGGGACCGCAAACGCGGGCCCTGTGACAGGCACTTAGGCACACAGTGGGGGCAGGACGGGGATCCCTTACACTAAGGGCTTTTAAACATAAATATTTACACTTAAGTTTCCCCCAGCGGGCACAGTTTGGATTCTGCCTGGAGCACGAGGCTGGGCTGGGTCACCTCCGGCCTACTGTGTGCCCAGGCTGCTGTGCAATATTGCTGCTGTGCAATAAAAACGTGCTGGAACCGCTGGAGTAGGTCCGGGATATTAAAATGGATGTTTCTTAAGGGTGGGCGCTCTGTAACATGAGGTCTGAATTTCAAAACCCTTTTAATTGCTTTGGTACAAGCCTGCATATGGCTCTCTGGCTGGAGAACTGGTAAACGATGCACAAAGCCAGGAAAGGAACGCTGAGCAAATGGGATTTTGTATATAAACACTGTTTGTAATGTTGCCTTAAAGTGCTTAAGTTCAGTGCTTGACTAACACTTCCATTAGGAGTGATCTTTGACAGAGCTCTGACGCCGCCTGCCTTCAGGAGGGTCTGGGTTCACACCAAGTTCTGCTGACACATCTTCTTAGGGCCAGGTTATTTATTCTGCAGTGTTTTTCTGCTAGAACTAACCCAAACCGAGTGCGGCACAGAGGCAGAGCTGCCTGCACCGGTGCTGCTCAGTTTGCCTGCCAAAGGAGGATAAGCTGCAGAGGCATTTCTCTGGTGGAGCTGTCTGTGGAACAGGCTGCTCCGTGCACAGCCCGGCAGGAGCCTCTTAAGAGCAGATATGTCTCCAGAGCACGGTGACACACCCTGTCATTTACTGATCGTGCTGCCGCAGCGTGCCTGCTTCCCTGTGATCGTTTGAATTCATTTGTTCTCTGGGAGTAGCATTCCTAAGGGATGGACTTCTGATTTTCTCTCTTTCCCTCAACCTTGCCTTAAAATGACCCAGTCTGGTCCACTTTTTTTTCAGCAGCCTCTAGGGCATTTCTGTGGTTGAAGTATCCAAAATACTGTCCCAGAAACTTCAGTGTAGGAGTGCAGCTACCAGAGGTGAAAGAGCAGTCTTACGAGTTCCTGGAGGCTGCTGTGTGACCACATATTCACTAAATTTGAAGGGATACAAATACAATTCTTTGGAAGAAATCAGCTGGAAGCAATTCCTGGTGAACTGTTAGAGCAGCCTTTGAACCACAGTGTTGTCCCTGTGTATCCTGAAACAGCACACAAGCAGGGCCGGTGCTACTGCCACAACCTTTTTCATCTTTTCAGTGGAGAATTCCTTTAGCCTGAGCAATAGAACACCTGGAAAACCTCAGCACCCCCAAACCTGTCTCTGTCTGCTTCTGCTTGGGTTGGGCAGGTGGGGTTGAAAGCACAGCAGCTGTACCTTGAGAATTTGTGAGGCAGTGGATTATTGGGATAAATTTAGGGATAATAGTCAGTCTTTCTATGTGCTAATCCTCTGTGCTACTGACTCCCTCCGTGGCTTTTAGAACCCACCTCAGCTCTTATACTCGGTGTTCTCCTCTGAGAAATAACGCTCGACTCGTGAGGGAGGTGAATCAGCTTTAATTAAGATTTGTCGAGCGCTTTGTTGATAAGTTCTCAATAGCTGGTTGCTATTTTTTATGAACACTCAGATATTCTTAGCACCTGAAGTGGGAAGTGACACAATGCTGGGGATCTCTGGGAAGCAGCCCTGCGAAGGGAGACGGCGCCTGCTCACCGAGGCTTTGTCAAATCCATTCTGGCTGCAGTTCATGAGGCAGCTCAGCAAAACCCCAAATCCCTCTGAGTCTTTGGGAAATCTGAAATGTTCCTGAGAGCTAAGCCCTGCTTTTGCATGAGGTTTGTAGCTTTTGCTCCCTTGGATTTCTCCCAAGCTGCTGGTTGGGTTTGGTGCAGCTGTGTCCTCCTTGTCCGCAGCCCTGTCCTGAGCCAGGTGAGAGAAAATCGTCTCCAGGCTGGGCAGGCCCCAGGTCCCTCTGGGCCTTCGTGAAATCCCAGTCTCAGGGAGCCTGACAGCTCATCTAACTCGCCCTTGCAGCAAACTGAGCAGCCAGTTTGTCTCTTGCCTTCACAGAATGGGGAGCCCCATGGCTGCTTGTCTTTGTAAGTAAACCCTGTTAAAATCTGAGAGCTGTACCGGCCCCGGAGGGAGCAGGGATGGAGAAACCCCTCCACAGCTGGTATGGGGCAGCATGGTTTGTACTGCTGACTGCTCTGCTGGCTGCCCAGACTCTGTGGTTTGTGTGGGACTCAGAGGTGATATCCAGCACGGAGCCCAGAATTGGGTATTTTATGTTCCTGGATCACAGAGTGATGTTCAGCTCTTTGGAGCTGTGGTGTCACAGTGCTGGCGCATTTAGTCTGGTCCCCAGTTTTCCCCAGCTTCCCTCTGTCTGGGGAACTTTCCCCATGACTCTGTTTGTGTGCTTGGTCTCTGTTTGTGCTGTTTCCAAGCACACTTCTTTGCATTGTTTTCCTTGCTTTTCTTTCTATTGATTTGTGGGTGTTTTGGGAACTTTTCTTCAGTTTATCAATTCCGATCATGACCTCCAGAGTGCTTCCAGCTCTTAACTCCTGGGCATCCTTTCAGGTTTTATAAAAGCACTCTCTCTTTCGTTGTTCAAACCATTAACGGAAAGGATGAACAGAAGCAGACCTGGGCTGAGCTCCCAGAGCCTATACACAGGGATTTCTCCTATGGTGACAGGGAATTGCTGATAGCTCCCCATCAAGTGTGTGGGGTTGAGTGGCTTTGGTTGGTCTTTTTTTTCTTAGTTTGTAATGAGCACTGGGCCTCATTAAGGTGAGCTTGCCCAGACCCAGCTCCTCTGGCTTTCGAAAGCATCAGATGGATGGAGTGAAAAGCCTGCTTTGTGCTGGTCAGAGGTGTGATGGGCAGGTCTCTGTAGTGAGGGATTGTGCTCTCCTTCTGAAGGCTTAGGTGACTTTTAAGAGCTTTCATGAACTTCGTTTACCTGGGGCTTCTAGCTGATGCTTGCTGGGACTGGCACAGCACCGAGGCAATGCTCAGCCCTGCTTCCCCCTCAGAGCTGCCTCAGCAGTGGGCTGTGCATGGGGGAAGCTGTGTCCAGCATCTCCTGCTCCCCTTTGTTTCTCCATAGGTCTCTCCTCAGTGAGAGTTGGGCTTGTCTGGATGTGACTAAGGTAGCAAAAATATATTTTTCTCCTCAAGCAATTCCAAGTTCCTTGTGTGATTGCTCTTCTCTAGAAAAGATAAAAGTACTTGCTCTGTAGAAATTAATGACGCTCATTTTTATTCCTAGATAGTGTGTCATGGTGGGAGTGGTTGCAGGATACCTCATTGCACCAGGGCTTTGCTGTCACCTCAGTGCCAACTGCTTAAGGAAGAGGTGAAATTAAACTTGAGATGAAATAGATTTCACTGGAACAAATGTCACTGCCCAAGCAGGACCAGCTCTACCCTCCCCAAGGTCTGTGAGTACTGAGCTGCTGGGTTCAGCTGCCTGAAGTTTAAGAATTGGTCCTTTTGTGAAGTGCTCTTCCACCCCCTATTCCATTTTGCTTTTCATGTGGGTGTAACTGTGGGGTGAAAATCGGACCCCACCAAATTTAAGAACAACACAGGATTCCTCTGTGGTGTTCATGTCTTTCTCCTCTCCAGGCTGGTAACTTGTGGTACCCAGCTGTTCACTCCAGCTGTGCTTCAGGGGCTCCATCAACAGGACGGAGACACTGTGTCCTCTTTGTCCTCCTGTATTGGTCCGTGGCTGATGGTAGAGCCATAGAGTCAGGGAATATTCTGAGTTGGAAGGCACCCACAAGCATCATTGGGTCCAACTCGGTGAGTGCCCTGGCCTAATTTCAGTTCCAGGGGAGAAAATTCAGTCTCCCTAAAACATTCCTATGACTTGTGTTGGATTCTTCCTTGCTTTTCTCCAGGGGGCTGTGTGCTGTAGTTAAATATGGATGGAAAGGCTGTGTTCCACTCTGGATTACAGCTGAATCTCAGTGGTGGATAAATTGCATCCCAACTCTAGTTTGCAAAGCCCTTTGGGCTTCATGGGCTGCAGGAAAGCTGTATTTTATTCTAGATGTGTGTTTGCTGATAATTCTATAGGATTTGCAGACAGCAGGTTGTAAGAGCCCTGATTATACTGGTTCCCTGTGCAGTCAGACTCTGCCCAAATAATTCAAGTGCCTGCTGCAGAGAGAGGGAAAGGAAGATGGAAGGATGATTTAGAAATCTCTGGAGTTGATGGGAAGAAGATGCATATGTTGAGCTGAAGGAGATACCAAGCCATGTATATGGCTATAAACATCTAAATAGAAGTCAGGATTTTTCAAATGGTTGCCTGCTTTAAGCCCAAATAATTCCTTTAACGAGAGGTTTTAAAGGTTTAACTTAATTTTAGAATTTTTATTTCAAGCGTACTTCCATAAAATTAACTTTTTGAATGCAGAATGCTTTAATGTCTTCCGTGTTGCTGCTCATTTGCAAGAAATCTCTGCACAGTTATTTCTTATGTACCAGTTAAATCTATCAGCCAACAGATGTCAAGTGTAGCAAAAATGCTATAATAATATTATGGTCTAATAATAGTTATAATGATTCTAATTACCTGGTGCAGCTTTAGAGAGAGGCAGATTCAGAAATGAGTGCAAAGGAGGTGTTTAACCTTGAACTGCAGAAGCAGGGCACTTCCAGAGGTTCCTGTGCCGTGTCCCCTCCTCCCTATCGGACATCCCCCTCC